TCAAACAGTTCTTTGAGGGCCTGACCCACACCCACTTCATTGCCGTATCTCCAGGCGGTGTCTATATGTCTATAACCAACACTAACTGCCTCTTTGACTGCCTCCCTGGCCTGGTCATCATCCATAGTCCAGGTGCCTAAACCTATATTAGGTATGAGCTGTCCATTGTTTAAACGGATCAATGCATACGACTCTTTCTCTGGATTATTAAACCCTATTTAAAATTTAATAATTTAGTAAATAATTATAATATTAAATATTGACAAACCTGCACTAGATCTTGAACATAACCACACAAGTAGCACCATACAAATAAACCCCGATATAACCCCCAAAATTATTAATTTTATAGGTTTAGACATTTTTTCTTATCAATATAATAACTCTATATTTAAATCCTACTTGAATACAAAAACCTAATATGAAAATAATTGTATTACTAAAGTCATAAATAAAAGTGTTGAAAAAAATAATTGTAAAACAAGTTTTCAATGAACAACTTAAATAAATTAAAACTTCATTTTAAAATATTATGTGTTTCTTAATTTAATTTTAAAACAAAAAACAATATTTATTGAATATTTCTATTTTGGATTCAAAACTGAAGGATAACAACTCACAATTATTCAAAGGTTTTTATATTTGATTCTAATATAATGATTTGAGATAATAATCTAATGATTTATTAACTAAAATAACAAATTTTCTTTCAAATTATTTCTACGAATTAGCTAAATTCAATATAATATAACTCAATTAATATGGTTAGAAACAACAAAACAAAAGTGTGTATTGTTTAATATTATTTGTATACAAAACATGGAAATATGATATAAATAATTGTTGATTGTATGAGACGGAAGTCTTAGAAATCAAATAATTAATTGGGTTGAAAGCCTTCAGCAAATATCTTAAATAAAATTTAATTAAGTTTTCTAACACATATTCAAACCAGTAATTATTTTTATATTTTATATTAATGTATTTTAATTTGATTGTTTTTAAATTACTTCGTATCATTTCCCTGATAAATTGAGGGATACAATCAATAAAACTAATGTTTACCGTATAATCCTTCTCTA